CTGGTGCCCATGGGAGCATCTATTACATCCTTGTTGCCTGCGGCACTTGTTTCTATATTCTAGTCCATTCCGTTTCATTAAAAAACAAACACTGAAGATGGGTGTAGTGGCACTCAGGAGACGGAGGCAGGAGGATCTCTGAGTTTGAGGCTAGCCTGGTCTACATAGTAAGTTTCAGGACAGCTAGAGCTACGTTATGAGACCCTGTCTTGAACATAAACAAACAACCCCAAAATATAGTCAGGCATAGGAGCACACGCCTCTAAACCCAGCACACGGGAGGCAGAGGCAGGAGAATCACTGTGAGTCCGAAGACCTGCCTGTCTGTATTGTTAGTTCCAGGCCAACCAGGGCTACATAGTAAGACCCTACCTCAAAAAAAAAAAAAAGATCTCCTTGTGTGTTTAATGTATGTGTTTGTGTACACGTGTGAATGTGGAGACCAGAGGTCAGCCATGGTGTCTTCTCCTATCATTCTTAGTTTTTGAAACAGGGTCTCTCACTAAACACGGAGCTGTCTTTGAACCCAGAGCTCTTTATGTAGGCCAGATCGTGTGCCACCACTCCCCCAACCCCCCGCAGGATCTGCCTATCTTTGTCTCCCCAGTGCTAGGGTTACAGGTGCACACTGCCATAATCAGCTTTTATGTTGACACTGGAGATCCGAACTCAGGTCTCATGCTTGTGAGGCAGGAGATTTATCACGGAGTCATCCCTTTGTCCCCTAATATTTTAAACAGACTTCCTAATCAACCCATGAGTTGCAACCTCTGGTTTGGACAATGCTAATCTCCAGAGCCTCTTCTGCCCCGGCTTCATGGGCCACAGGCTATGTCCTGGGCACAGGTGATTGGGCCTGGGGGTGGGATACCTAATCAAAGCTGACCAATCAGATTCCTCTCCTGGGAATTTGGAATTGGGCCATTCAGTCAGTTAGCAGCGGGAAGCTGAGTGAGAGGCAGGGTAGAAACAGGGTTGGAGTGTGAGTCACATGCGAGCCCAAAGGATGGAGGAGCAGAAAAATCCCTGAGTAAGCGGAGCGCGCTGGTCCACAGAGACAATGGAGCAGCCGCACAGACAGCCTCGCAGCCAGGAGGACCTGCAGCCCCAGAAGGAGCGGTGGAGACAGGGAGATACAGCTTAAGGCTCCGATGGCGTCCCCATTCCCAGCCCCGGCCCCAGCGCATCCTGCCTGCTCATCCTTCCCGTGAGATTTTGGACCTCCTCTTCTTTCTCTTGAGTTATTCCCGAACCTTTATCAGGAAGAACGCTGCTGGCCTTTCTCTTTGGGGAGCCCAGCTGTGACGGAGGCTCAGGTTGTGGAGTACAGGCAGGGCTGGGGGTGGGACCAGATAGAGCTGCTCAGACCTTCAAGGCTGGTTGGGATCATGGGTTTATGTTCAATTGGTGCCCGCCATAGGCAGAGAGGTCTGTGTGGTGTTGCCCATGTGGGGCTGTGGGAACTGAAAATACCCCATGGAGCCTCTTTTCCCGATAGTTAGGGATAAGAAGTGGGTGGAGTTTTGAGCAGTGGTGCTTGGGTGCTTGCGGCGCCACGGACTGGCTGAGCCTCGTGGGTGACTGCTTCCAGCCTCAATTTCTGCATCTGTGAAATGGGGTTGTCCGTGATCAGCTTTGTCCTGGGAAAAGTACTTAAAGGCATGAGTGGAGAATAACAAACAACGGCCGAGAGTGAGGCAACTGGTCTTGTTGTTTGAGGAAGCCGGCAAGAGTCCTGGCTTCCTGAAGGAGGTGGCCCGGGTGCTGACTAAGGTAGTGACAGGACATTCCCCACTGATGCCTGTGCTTCCTGCCCCTCATCACCCCCACGCTGCCCCTCACCCCAGTCACCTTTCGTTTATTCCTCTCCCCCTCCCCTCTGGTCTGTTCTTCCTGCCTTTTTGAAACATGGATTTAGGAAACAGTGGGTTGGATTGAGGCACCAGTCCCTGGAGGCCCAGTCCAAAAGGGGTCTGGGTCCTGACCTAGTCCCTCGTTTGCTGTGCTCCTGGGTAAGTGAATGCATCTCTTGGAGCTTCCAGTTAATTATCCGTGGAGTGGGAGTTAGCATATCTGTTTTACTATGAGAAATTAGCTGCTCTGTAGCGCTTCCCTTCCCCTCCCCTTTCCCTCTCTCCTCTGCTGCTGAATGTTGTTCTCCTGGCCCCTTCCTTTCCAGCAGCCACTGGAGTGACTTTCCCTCGCTTGCTTGCTTGCTCGTTTGTTTATGCTGTCGGGATGTGAGATCTTTCTTTTCCTTCAGAGCCAGGGCTACCGAGGGCTGGAGGCGAGTGAGGAGGCTTGGAAGCCACAGGGTTTTCGCTTGTTCAGTTTCCTGGAGAAACGTGGAGCTCCTAGCCTCTAGCTTGGAGTTGCTGGTTCAGATGGAGTAGTCTGCATTTTTTTCCTTACTTTAACAATGATCACACCCAGGCCAGTTGTGGCGTCTTCACACTTCCAACACTGATAAATATTAATGAGGAGAAGAGGCTCCTAGGGCCCCTAGGGGAGCGCTTGGGGAGGTGTTGGGCCAAGTTCTCCTTTGTAAGCAATACTCAGACCTGTCAATATTCCCTGGGTCCCAGAAGGGAGGGTGAGGCAGGGCCAAGGCTGCGGAGACCCCACAGAATCACAGGCCTGGATACCTGTAGATCAACTTCTGGGAAGGTTTGGGATACACCCTGCTGAACCTGGGGGAGCTATTTCACCTTTCTGGGTCTGTCTGATCTCTCTCTGCTTCCGACTTTCTGTTTCTTTCCATGGTTCTCTTTTCCTCCCATCTCTTAGTCCTCTTTTATTTTCATACCTGAATCTCTCCTCTCTTCACCTCTCCTTCCCTTCTTTCAATACCCTTCACCCCCAACTCCCTAGCTCTCACTTTTTTTCTGCTTCGCCTCCATCATGGTTGGTAAATTGTGGGCTCCATGACAGTATGTGGGTAAGGGAGACTTAGCCTCCCAGACACAGCTCTGGCAGGGGACAAGGGTTGTCATGGAAGGCAAGTGGCACCCTTCAAGATCTAGGGACTACATTACCCCCTGACCTGATGTGTGAGCATCTGCGTCCCCTCCCCCAACCCCCCCGCATTCCTGTGCCTCTGTCCTTCGGTGAAGCAATGCCGTTCTTTTATTTATCTGTTCAACAAGTATTTATTGAGCTCTTGCCACCTCACAATAGTGAGGTGTGTCCCTGTGTGCTTGGGATGCACCTGTAGCTAGGAGAGAGTGTCCACTGTTGCGGAGTGGGCGGGCTAGCAGAGCAGACCGGCAGGGAGAGAGTAAAGTGTATGGTCGGTCAAGGGGTCACCGGGAAGAAAGGAAGAAGAGATGAAGAGAGGGGCTGGATGTCAGGGGTTGATGGCAGGGGGGTTGGGAAAGTGGATATTTGGGAAGCGTGTCCAGGATAAGAGAATAGGGTAAGGGAAACTTCGAGTAAAGGCTTTGTGCAGGCAAAATCTGGTGGACAAGGAACAAGGAACAAGGAACAGGGGCTGGAGAGCAGCAAGGCTGGAGGCTAAGGGAGAGTAGCAGGAGGTGACACCGGGAGGGGGAGAGGCGAGGCCAGATCACTGGGACCCTGCAGGAGCTTGAAGGTTTTCCTGTCTGCAAGTCGGGTAGAGTTGTGTGTCTTCCTCAGCTCGCTCTGAGGACTGAAGGCTGAAGGTGGGCTGCAGGCAGCTGGCACTCACTTTAGGAGAGGCAGAAGGAAGGAAGCTGTCCCACACTGAGGATTTGCTGGTGCCTGTAGGACACTCAAGGCCTCTTTAGCTATGACCCTGCCTCAGGGTCGCCTGCAAGAGATCGGCTGGGCAGAATCCATTAACCCTGGCTTCCTTTCTTTCTCTCTACAGAGTGTTCAAGAAGGCAAGCCCCAATGGAAAGGTGAGTCTGTGGTATGTGCCGGCTCCTCACTGTCCCCACACTTGGGACGCCTCTCTGTGGACCAGGAAAGGAAGCAGTGTCTCCAGGGAGAGACAGGCTCCACTCACTGTCTAGGGCTGGCCCAGCTCTGTCCTCAGGAGCCCTCAGTTCAAATGGGGTATGAGTGTGTGTGTGTGTGTGTGTGGCTCCCTAGAATCTTTCTGTGTGGGCTTCAGGGAGCCCCCAGCTGGGGAGAGATGAACAGGCCTCTCCTGAAGAGACAGAGTAAGTGTGAGAGATTGAGATAGCGGGTCATAGCACCAGTCCCCTGGTGTGAGAGGTCACCGTGTATCCAGGGCCTCCCAGGGCCCGGCTTCTTGCTTGCTTGCTTGTTTGCTTGCTTGCAGAGGCTGCAGGATGTATCATCCTGTTTTGCTCCCTGCTCAGCAGACAGGCAGTACTGACATCTATGCCAGGTCTGGGCTGGGTCTGCTGGGGGTCGGCAGAGTGCTGAGATAAAAGAGCCGTGGTGCTCACAGTGCAGGAATCGGTCATCTCACACAGAATGCCAAGTAGGATGCTGGGATGCCCAAAGACCGGAAGACCTTGCCTGGGGTGTGTGTGTCAGCCATGGCTTCCTCTGGAGGTGACACAGTTTTAGGCAAAGCTGGGTGAGAAGGGGAAACTCTAGGGTGGAGCATAAAATCCAAGGAAGAGAGGGACATCCCAGGCCAGTGAGTCTCAAAGTGAACAGAAAGAACAGAGCCGGGGATGACGCAGCGCATGTGACAGGTGTCCTGTAGCCAGGTTTAGCCGCTCACACACCTGGGTTACCTTGTGCATATCTGTATCTCTATTTGAAGTTCCTAGCAGACATCAATAATCATCTTTAACCTCTCCTGCTGAGCCAGGATCTGTTCTATCTCGGATTCCTTGGCAATCCAGGGCCCCAGGCATCCCAGACCAGTCAACTAGATTTGGTACTGAGAATGAAATCCATCTGTCATTCTTACCCTCCAGGCACAGGGAAATGGTTAAAGGGCTTTCAGAAGGGCCCAGCTGTCTGAAACAGCTGCTTGCTCAGATTTGCATTTTAGGTGTGGCTAAGGTGATGCAAACAACTGGAGGCTGCCAAGTGTGGTCTCCCTGAGGAACCTGCTGGGATAGAATGGCCAGGACTGCGGGAAGGTTGAGGAGCCAGGGGCGTCTAGGATGGTGCTCCCAGTTCAGTGTTGAATCTGGGGCTCTGTCTGGCTTGGACTCTTCCTTGCTAACTGGGGATTGGGCAGGGAGCTTGCTCCCTGATTCCTTGGTGTCCCAGAAGAAGAGATGTCCTCGTGTAAGTAGATCCCTGCCTAGTTCAGGGTAGGCAGAGCCGAAGAGCCCAGAGCCAGCATCGGCATCAGCCCTGAGCGCATGGCTTGCCTGCCTGCCCCCAGCCATTCCCAAGATGCCCTGCTTTTTTGTTTTGATCTGCGTTCCCTCCAATCCTCAGTGGGGTCTGGCTTAAAGACCTCCCTTGTCAATAAAATGAGAAGAATAACAAACCTTTCATAGGGGTTTGGGAGGCAGAGGTGTTTAAATACTTTTCTAAGATCTACTCTCATTAATATTTGGTTTGGGGTGAGGGACCTCATCTTGCTGTGGCTCCAGTAAGGCTTAGGAATGTGCGTAGGTGTCATTGTCCTGTGTCATGCTGGTCCACAGCCACTAACATTCCTATGCCTCTCCTCTCCAGCTCACTGTCTACCTGGGGAAGCGGGACTTTGTGGACCACATTGACCTCGTGGACCCTGTGGGTGAGTGCTGGGTAGAGGGCTAGGGAAGAACCCCACCTCCAAAAGGGTCTGGTACCCAGAATGCATGGGCATGACTTCCTGCTCTAGGAAGCAAGCTTCTGGGCAGCTCCTCCCTATTCAAGAGTCTTCTTTGATGGTTCCAAGGCTGAAAGGGGGCCCTGATGGACAGCAGCAACCACAGCTTATATAAGGCTCATTGTGCAGCAGCGACATCATGTGCCTCCAGACAGAGTGAGGCACAGAGGGGCTCAGTGACTCGTTCTGGATCACAGAGCTAGTGAGGCGAGGGTTTGAATGTCTATGACATTCCCCTCTCTCTGAACTGGTCCTGTCTTCCCCATCTTTCCCCATCCCATCTGCAGCAGAGACCTGGTGCTGGTCCAGGGCCCAGGACCAATGGATGGGGCATTTGACATTAGCTCTGGGAATTCACAATTCATTGCTTCTAGGTCACAGAACTGAACTGTTCCTTCCTCCTATCTTGTCAAGTCCTTTGGTCATCTACTGAGCCACCCTTCCTTGTCCTGTGGAGCCTGGCTCCAGGTCACCCACCTCCCAACCACTGAGGAAGCACCCCTGGCAGGGACAAGTGCCTTCCCTAGGATGTTAAATTTATTCTCAGTTGAGTGCCAGGATTCTAATCAGTGCAGGACATGTCACAGAGGTGATGCCCATCACAGATGAAAGAGTATACATAGCAGGGGCGTGACCCTGAAGATGGATTGGGGATATCCCTGTTTAGATGTCCCGATCACCTTGGACCAAGATACTCACTGTCTGTTTCTTGAACTACTCTGAGTGGTCAGTTATAGGGATAGCATGGAGGTGGATAGTGTGGTAATGTGTTAAAGCATGTGTGTGTATGTGTGTGTATATGTGTGTATGTCTGTCTGTGTGTGTATTTGTATGTGTGTATGTGTGTGAATGTATGTGTATGTGTATATGTATGTGTGTGTATGTAAGTGTGTGTATGTATGTGTGTGTATGTGTGTATATGTATGTGTATGTATGTGTGTATGTGTGTTTGTGTGTGTGTATGTATGTGTATATGTGTGTTTGTGTGTGTATGTGTGTGTATGTATGTGTGTATGTGTGTTTGTGTGTGTATGTATATGTGTGTGTGTGTGTGTGTGTGTGTATGGGGATGTCAGACTGTGATGCTCTTTGGGACAGTGCTCTTAGCTTCCTGGGATGCTCAGCTAAGAAACGTCCTGTGTCCTGCCAGATGTTCTGCTCCCAAGGACAGATCCTGTGAGCAGTGTCAAGGTACTTCTCATCTTCTCCACTGTGTGAGTCACTTTTATCATGGTGACAGGATGTTCACTTATTTGGGTGATGGCTTTAGAGGTTTCAACCCACAGTCACTCAACACTGTGGTACTGGAGTGAGACAGAATGTCACGGCAGAGGCCCTGTGGGGAATGAAGCTGCTTTCCTCACAATGAGCAGGAAGCGGAGGAAGAAGAAGGGACCGAGAACCGAATATACCCTTCACGGCGCATTGATTGACATGCTTCCTCTAACCAGGCCCCGTCTCCTAAAGGTTCCACTGAGCTATGAATTCGCTGATGGGTTAGATCCTCCATGATCCGGTCACTTCCCAAAGGCAGGATGCTGTTGCTTTGGAGACCAGCCTTCAAGACACCCGCCTTTGGAGGACATTTAGGAGCCAAACCATGACAGTCATGCTCACTCATGCCAGGAGCTGTCCAAATACTTACATATGTGACAGAATTTACCCATGAGCACAGTGACACAGACTACCCATCTGTCCTCACATGAGCGTTGAAGGCTGCTGACCAGGGCCCCAGACTCATAGACACCCCCCTTCCCCCCCGTCAACCCAATATCCAGGAAGCTCTGAAAACCTCGCAGTTCCTAAGCCTGGTGCAGACTCTGTTTATCACTAAGCTGACCTAACATGACTCAAAGCCATTTACCATAGCTAGGCCCTTGGCGAGATTAGTCATTTAATGATGGCAATTCTGAGAATTGTCCTTATGTGGTTTTGTTATTGTGTGGAGGACATAGTGTGCTTACACAAACCAAAATCACCATGATGTCCCTAGGCAGCAGACTCTTATGGGGCCACCTCATACACGCTGTCCTTTGAAACATTGTTCTGTAGTGCATGACCACAGCTGTGTTTTCCCGTCGGGGTGTCAATGGCTCTGGTCGTGGGCGTGCACCCTGCAGAGGGTGGCACCCCGGTGGACCATGTGCCCTATTTATTACCTTTGGGGTTTGGTGTGAGTGGATGTTTGGGGCTCAGGTTGAGAAGGTCAGGTTGGGGGACTCTGTTCATTGTCTCCCCCAGATGGCGTGGTCCTGGTGGATCCTGAATATCTCAAGGAAAGGCGAGGTAAGCTGTGTTCCTCTTCCTCACAACATGCCGATGGCTCCTCGTCCTCTACTCTCTGGTGACCTCCCATGACTTCTCCCTGTCCATCTGATTGGTTCCGTGCTTAAATGCATCAGTACATACTGTAGTAAGAGCACTGGTCCCTGGCACAGAGCAGCCCTGCCTCGTGCCCACTGTGGGAGAACTTATGCCCCTAGTCTTGTCCCATCAATGAGGCAGCAAAGCTTGGCACAGGGGAGATGGCAGAAGAGCAGGAGAGAGGCTCTCGTTTTATAGAAGATAAAGGTAAAAGGATCTGAGTATAAGGTTAGAGTGGTTAGGGTTGGGCTGAGAGCCCATGCCTTTTAGACTTAGTCTTCTGTATGCGTCCCTTCTAGGCTGTCTCCCTGACCCTCTCCTAAGCCTGCCAGCCTAATGCAGCCACCACAGCCACAAGGCTGTGTGACTATCCTTCTGCCCCTCCATACTCCAGGGCTGGAATGGGTTGAGCAGGGCAGAACTGCCCAGAAGGAGGCCCCTTTCTAAAAGGCTGTAACAAGGCTGCCTCTGAAAGCACCCTGTGTCAGAGAGCAGTGTACCCTCTCCACTTGAACCTGGGACAGGCTTGAAGCCTCCAGTAGACCAAACCTCAGGGCTGCAGCTGGAGCTCTGGGGGGGTTGTGTGCTGCCCTCCCAGGCCCCTCCTCAGTGCCCCTGCTCCTCACAGTCTACGTGACGCTGACCTGTGCCTTCCGGTATGGCCGGGAAGACCTGGATGTCTTGGGTTTGACTTTTCGCAAGGACCTGTTTGTGGCCAACGTGCAGTCCTTCCCACCGGCCCCCGAGGACAAGAAGCCACTGACACGGCTGCAGGAGCGGCTCATCAAGAAACTGGGCGAGCATGCCTACCCCTTCACCTTCGAGGTCAGCTCCCGGAAGCAAGCGAAGCAAGCATCTCCTCTGTGATGCGCTCAGGGCAAACCCATGGGGAAGCCAGGAGGGCGGCTGCTTTGTCTTTCCTGGTTGGGACTTTGGTACCATCACTTATATTACCTGTTACGTGTCTTATCTCTGGCCGCCGTGGACACGTCACACACGCCCACACCTCTAGGCTGCTCTTCTGGCCTTCCTGTATTCAAGTTACTAGAGAAAGGGCGGCCCAGGGGTAGTTGCAGCAAAGGAAGGAATTCTGCCTGGCCCTGAGTCACCGTGTATCTCCCTTAAGACAGGCTGCCCACACACGCAGCTGATCCCTCTGCCATGCTTCCTTACCATTCCAAGACTCCACGCTTCTGGAGTTCACAGCTTCGTGTTTCCCAGACTCCGTGATTCTGGGGCGGAACTGAGCTGAGTTCTTAGGTGAAGAACAAGCAAATTCTTTATCTCCCCCAGTCTGCCCCTGGCCCTGTGTGCAGTATGATGTGTATGGCTTGACTGGGAGAGAAACAGGGGCTCCTAGTCTGTTGGGAGAGAGACATCTTGTTTCCAGAAGACCTGGTCTGATGGAGGAGATCTGATGTGTCCTCCAGGGACTTGGTCTGATGGGTGTTTAGGAGTGAGGTGTGCAGGGAAAGGCAAGGCAGAGGTGAAAGCTTAGCTCATTTTATTTGTCCTCTGAACAGATCCCTCCAAATCTTCCATGCTCAGTGACATTGCAGCCAGGGCCTGAGGACACAGGAAAGGTAGGTCACTCCAAGAAGACTATCTCTCCGGTTCCAGACTCTCACGTCTCCAGAGTTCTGATTTTCTCCCCATGGAGTCATGGGCGTCTGGAACCTCCCTTCCTGTTGAAGCTGCCTGGGTTTGATATCCCTTGGACAGTCAGTCCCTTGCGACAAGGCTGCAAACGCAGGCTAGCCTCGCCCCCACCTCTGGTGATGTGTCCCAGGCCTCTTGAGTCACTCTTGCTGGCTCTGGTGTTGATTGCCCAGGACCAACAGATTCTGAGGACCTCCCTCTGGCTTCGCATGGGTCCTAGCTGCCTCGTTTGGCAACGGGATGTCTGACATTTGGGGAAAGTGACCTCAGCAGCATCTCGGGCCCCCAGACTTTAGAGCTCACACTCCCACCTTCAGAGCGAAGACAGTGAGCATGCTCCCCCATATTGTTAGAGAGTGAGGGAGACGCCATGACATCCAGCCCAGGGTCTTCACGTTGCTGATGGCTGTCTTGAGGAGGACATCCACCTAGACTGAAGCTGGGGTCCCAAATGTGATTGGGATTGGCTGGTGGGCTCGCAGGAGTAGCTCCAGGGGAAGGTCCTGGGTCAGGGGCAGCATTGGGACAATGCCATGGGTCAGCACGGCCTCCTTCACAGGCCTGTGGTGTGGACTACGAAGTCAAAGCCTTCTGTGCCGAGAACCTGGAGGAGAAGATCCACAAAAGGTATGCAGGATGCCAGCGGGAGAAGGGTGGAAGGACAGGAGGGGGGATCCAGAGAGGAGTGATGAGGAGCGGGTTGCATTGTGGGAAGGGTCTGGAAGGCTGTCAGGTCTTGGTGAGCTTCCTGGAGGAGGCGGCCTGAGGGGCCGAGCCAGTCCTTGCTTACATCCCTACCTCTGTCTTTCCCTCCAGACTGAAGTGGTTGATGTTTGAAAGACTTA